GGCAGTGTTATTCACCTTTATTGAACAAACTTTGAAGGTCCTATCGCCTTGAGCCTCGTTGGCACAGTAACTACGCTATAACCTGAAAGAATGGCGGTGTTTTATCTGGATTTAGAGATTTGGAGAAAGTGGGACCCCTAATTAGGCTCAAACACGAACCCTGACCCTGGGCACGTGACTAGGCGCACGAAGGTAAGTAATTTAGGTGCACTATTAGCTAGTCTCCAATACTTATCTCAAAAAGTTGTCTGCTTTAATTTTCACGCCCGATTTTTTTTTACTTTAGTGCTGAATATTCTAAACAGTGTTAATTTTTACAATGAACTGTTACATATCCCAACAAACATATTAGCTAATGGATTAGTGTCACGTATATGTGACGTGATGTTTTAAATTCTCAAGTCCACTTTTTGCATGTTGCTGTTACCTTCTTCTTAAAAATTGTTTGTTGTGGTCATTTTTGCGGGTGAATGGTGCACATTCTCTGAACAGACTAATTCACTGACTGGTGTCACTCATATGTGACGCAAATTCCCTTTCACTCTTATGAGAGCTACGTGTTAGCAACGGATGACTTTGGCTAAAGTCTTCTTTGTTGGAGCACATTTGTGCACCTTTTGTGTGGATCACGAGTTTGGTTTTACACTGTGATGGTGACTGGAAACATGTCGGTTTGACCAAAGATACCATTGTCTTTGAGTACTAACTCAAAGTGGTAGAATCAAATTGACGATGATATAAAAGGAAAAAACTTCTCATAAATAAGCAAAAAAACACCTTCTAAATTTTTAATTAAGTAATGCTTATACGGTCAGGTTTTGTAATCTCTGTTAATTCAGTTAATGGAATGTTTGAAATTTTTCACAATTTTTGGTCTACCAAGAGGCTCCTTGACTGAAAATCTGATGGCATCATTCTTGAATTTTGTAAATCTCTTCTTTTCTGAGTAGCAAAGCAAGCATACACCGTAGTCTTTGATAAACGTATTGGGAGATGGTGTTACTCCCCTAAATTGCTCTCCTTGTTTACGTTTCCTACCCCATAAGTCCTTGAGCCTATATCTGACTAGGGGATAACTGAAGTGGACGGTTAGGCCAGTGGACCTGCATCAACTAGCTGCGTTATCCATATCTCCAATTCTGCACAATGCACGGTGTGTCAAACCTGTCAAGCGATAGGCTAAATTCACTCCAGAAAAATAAAACTAATTTGTGATGCTGTGCAGTTTAAATCCTCCTCTTTAAAAAAGAAGGGATAGTGTGTTGGACCATTGTGTCTGTATTTGTTACGTAATTACACCTTGGTAATAGATAGTGAGGTAGCAATTTCCGATTGGATAGCACCTACAAGTCGCCATAGTGATCACTTAATCAAAGCACAATAGAATCACTGGTTTTGACACGTTCGTTACCACGGTCTCTCTCGGTAGAGACCATTCATCACAGACCGTCTAGGGTGAAGTCACAAGTCCTTGTTTGGTTCTCTTTTTCCTCTCCAGTGTAGTTTATTCATGTTATTTAATTGTGTCACATATGTGTGACGTGAAGATTTGGGCTGTGTACACATTAGTTGAAGTATCTACTGAAGTAAGAGCCATCCCCTACGAAAGACACTGAGCGTAAAACACTTTTGCGACGGTATATACTACTGGACTCTCGAAATGTGGATGTCAAAATGAACATGGCAAGAGAATCCATCCCTAATTGCATTTAATTGTCTCCACATTGTGGTTAAACGCTATCGAATGACTGTCATTTTATGCCTCATTAGCAGTATAGTAGTCGAGGCAGGGGAGTAACCAATTGAAGCGCAGGAGACGCAGCGCAAAGGAATGAAGGATATATGTAAAAGGGCCTTGCTATGATTTCTCTAGTTCCGAGAGTTTTCAAATAAGTTTTGCTGCCGCATCCTTCCAAAATGTCCCAAGCTGCATTTCACTGCGGCTGTGGAACCAAATTAGACTCGGCTCATAAAACAGACAGTATGGAAGTGGATTAGCCTCGTTGAGCCGACTTTTACATCGAGAGGTTTCAAAAAGAGGGTGAGTGGTCGAGAGAAAGTGGAGCCTCCACTGTTGATGGAGTTACACGGATCTACCCTGAGATTTTCCAGCCCCTCCCTTTCGAGCACCTAATATCACTTTCTCAAAATTATGTCTTAGCCGCCAAATAAGTAAAAACCCAAATCTTTTTACTCAGGTAAGTGAAGCTGTCATCGCTCAAACCGAAGAAGGTCACTCGCGGTTTTATCAGCTAAATTCCATGCTGAGTGGATGGTGTGGAGGGGGAGAGGAGAGGGCGGGGGAGGCATATGCTTGGCCACCCCCCATTTTATCTGCCCAGCTTGTGGTGGTGACGAGATAGAGCGCATACTAACATTAATAGGTCTTTTTTTCCAACCTCCGCTGCTGCCGCCTCGTCCTCTTCACAACCCTTCATGCTTGTAGATGATATTCAATCCCGCCAAAGAGACAACGGACTTGACTTGACTTGACTTTTGATCGGATGGAACAGGGTTGAGGTGGAGTAAAGTCTAGTCATGATCCTTTGACATACCAAAACCAACAATTTTTTGCTTTAACCATTCATTTGGCTTAACCAGCCAACAAGAGCTAGCACTGCTCTGAAGGGGATGTCGGTTGAAAGCGTTTTGGAAGTACAAGAGGAGACGTCTTCATTCCCCTCAAGTGATAGGAACTACTGTCGACCGTCAAACGAAACTGCTACGTGGTTCGTTTATTCCTTGGCGACTGACTCACCTACCATAATACATGGCATCTTCTAGGAATGCACGACAATTGAGGAGTTCCTCCCTCCCAACACCGCATCTTGAAGCGTAGAGTCATTACAAGGGAAAGTGCAGTACTGAAGAAAATTTCCTACTGTAGAAGTGAAAAGTAGTAAGTGACTTGCAGTTAACGGTAAAATATTCCTTCATTTAATGCTCTCCGAGGCATAGATTTGCATCAATCTTTCTTTTCGTTAGGCTTTTATTGAAAACGTCTGTTTGTCTGTGGCGCCTTGGTCCCTGTTGTGGTCCTATTTACCACGTGGATGGGGTGTGGGGGAGGACAAGGTTACAATGGGGACATCTTTGTTGCCGTCTCGCTTTCGTAACCCAGGGGTTTGACCTGAGCTACATCCCTCCAACCGCCATATAGTCACAGTCGTATGTTTAGTTCCCACTGACAGGTAGTTTATCACACGGGATATGCTAATTTGTGCATGAAAGTGGAGATTGTGATCCCTAAATATCCCATGCTGTGAATTGGGGATGGGCAGGGGAGAGGGGCCTATGCTTCCGATTACTTGCAGACGAAGAATGGCCATTCAGCCGTTGGGGCCTCGGGGCCCGCTGATGCAAATCACACACTGAAACCACATGCAGTCAGGTGAGGGTGGAAAGGCCTAAAGGCCGGTGGTGCTTCATCTAGTCAGGAGTCAAGAGTGGAGTGGAGAAAAAGTGTCCGCCTTATGCTGAATAAATTATTACCATAAGTTTTAATTAATTCATAAAACAGGTGTTGGGGGGAGCTCCTGTGCCTACTTGGAAATTTTCTCACTTCGGCTAGCATTGTGTTGCATTTCACTTCACTCAATCATCTCATTGCATTCTATCTCGTCGTCAAGCGTCCTCCTGGCAAAAACTTATTCAGAGGTGAGGGAAGGCAGGTTGTACATACGCCATTTCCTATGGAGAGCTGATTTTGGACGGTTCAATGTGGCAAGGCGTTCCACGATGATAGCAGTTGGATAAATACTAGGTGGACCGATAACCAAGGCACCAGTGTCTTCAGACCGCCTTTACGACTGCCTAGTAAACCGAGAAATAAGAAGTTTATTTATTCTAACAGAGTGTGCCACCGTATCGCAGTTGTCAGCAATGTTTCCATGACCTGCGATGACGATGATTGTATTGGCTCATTAGAGATGTCAAAGAGGTGATTGCGAGGTAAACAGCGGTCGCAGCTGGCTCGGGACTGTGAAAGAAGGATGGGTCTATCAAGTCTACATGAAATGGAGGAGTTGTGGGAGCTGCTAAACGAATGGATGTTGCATGGCACCGCATGGGATGGCTTAAAAGGCATGAAAAATGAAGAGTTTCTTCCACTCTATTCCATGTTGTTTAGTGACTGATTCTGTTATCACAAAACTGATCTCATCCTAAATAAAAGCACTGACTTCCGCCTCATCTTGGTGTCAGATAACTACGCGGCTAGATGCGAAGTAGAATAGACAGGTGGGATAGGAATGGAGGTGGGCTGAACGAGGCCAGAGACAGGGACACGACTTCTGTTAGAAGTGGTGAGGACAGGCTTCCACCTGCATGGGCAAAAACGATCCACTGTCACCGACCGCATTGCTTCAACTTATGGAGCAGGCTGGAAATGAGGGGTTCCATTGGCCAATTTCTTTTGGATGAAGGGGGGCGCAAGCCCATGGACGCTCGCTCCTGACCTCATCCAGGCTCATGAATGAAGGAGCTCAGATAGGTCGAATACATTATTCTCACGCTCTCAAAAGCCCTTCCGAATGGCACTATTGAGTTCTTTCAGTTGTGAGAAAATTGCTTAGAGCTAAAAAGTAGGGTAATTTTCTTTTATAAATGGCTTAACAGTTAGTGTCACGTGTACGTGACACGTGTTTACTGTCAGTTGTTGGTAACTGTGGCTCCACCAACTGGTGTGCTGAAGTGGTGTTAGTTGGGTTTACAACACTAAAATGTAGATTTTGGCACAATCCTGACCTGAGGAAGATGTTTGCTTCTTTTATAGTATTTAAGTAGGATAGCACACCCAATAAAGTTCATGGTGGTTGGTTTGCCTATCATGATGAAATTGACTTCCCCTTAACTAACGCCATTTCTCTTCCTGGCAAAAAATATTTCCCCTAAAGCAAAATCGCAATGGAATATGATCTGATCCTTCACAGAAAGACGCCTCACTTCCGTAAACATTCATCCACAATATGTACATAAGTTACGAATAGCTTCGAGGCGCCTCAGACCGGATTTGCAGATGCAAAGTTATCTGTCTGATTGGACGGCCTATTGGGCGGATGAGGTAATAGAGGGGGTGGAGGGATAATTAGACCGGGAAATGTTGATGAGGAATTGAAGATAGGCGTTGTCGCATTTAACTGCTGAAGGAACGCCCTAAAGGGACAGTCGCTGGGGGCATCCAAACATGGGGAATTGGCACCTCCGATAAAGTTCTGCATACTTGGAGTGTTGAATAAAGCCAACTGAGACGGGTTGATAGGGCTCGCAGATGTTTGGGGTAGCAGAAGTGAGGGGGGTACAGGAAGTTGTGAATGCGACACAGTGGTAGATGGAGAAGGTGGTGGGGGACCAGGAGGCTGCACGGCATAGCTCGTGGTGTCAGGCATATTTCGATTTGGTGAGATGCGAGGCGAAGGAGCGTCCATTTCGGAAACCACTGCTGACAACGCAGGTAATGCCGGAGGTCTTGGCATTACTGATCCTGTCAATGCCGCTGTTCTTGCTGCTATTCGATAGGCTTCTACTGTTTCGTGATGTTGCTAGTACGTTAAAAGCATAGTGATTCACTGAAAGCGAAAGGGAATAAAAAATCTGTCAAAAGAGCCGAAAATTTCTTACCCCAAGGTGGGTCTTCAAATTCCCCTTGGTTGAAAATCTTTTGGAGCAAATTTTGCACACAAATGGCCTTTCTTCTGAAAGGAAAAAAAAGAAAAATGATGCGGCTTGTCAAACCGCATCTTAAAGGTGCGATTTTTTCGGTCTCATAATCTAAAGCAAACTAGGCAATGATGAAACTGGGCATGACATCTGTACTTACCAGTGTGTACACGATAATGCATTGTCAGAGCACTACGACAACTGAGCACCTTATGACAGACGCCACACTGATTTGGCACCATATTTCGTTGATATCGTTCGGCCAATTGTCGCCAAAGGATATTCTGAGTTTCATCAACTCGCATAAATTGTTCCAAGTAGTCTTCACTAGGACGACTTCGTAGATGACTTGTTGGTGATGAGGCAGAGGTAAAACTCTCCAAGGGATTTGTGTCTTCACATTCAGGGGGTAGAGGTCTAGGAAACAGTCGATTGTTTAATGGACGAATCCACTCCATCATGGGATTTAATGCGGATGAAGATGAGGCCATGCTATTCATTGGGGAAGGTGGTTTCATTGAAAGATCTAAAATTTCTCCAGGAGGCGAAGAAGGGGAGAAGTTGGGCTTCACTTGATAGGTTGTGGAGGGTTTAATCTCTGGAGTTGATTGCATTGGAAGTGTGGGCTTGAGGGGACTGCAACTCGTCTGTCTTGGGACTTCAGGACTGGTGCATTCATAAGATGACCTTCCAAACTTCTCCCTGCAGTCTTTGCGCTCGAAGGCTAAAAGTGATACAGAATGAGTTGTGAGGAGAGAGAGAGCAAACACTTGTTGTAAAACAGACTTCTTATTAGCATACAGAGTCACCTCTAAACCTGTGGGTTACGACTTTTTAACCAGGCAAAATTTATGCATAAACTTTGCATAACACCTCTCCTTGTGTCCGGCTGTGGCTGGCAACACTGCCTCTACTACCTTCGCGGTTGGGGTGCCACGACTCATGGCGCGGTGCTAACCACCATAGCATTTGAGTGACACGACTGATGTGCGTTGTCAACATCCACAAGTGGTATTCCAATGGTGTGTAATTATGGTGGTAGTGTGAATTTTGTCGAGTGTATGCAAATGCCACAGAAATCTGATTATTATTCAGAAAAGGACATGATGACAACGGTGGTGAAGTGTCAGTGTGTGCGTTGGTGAGAGTAAAGATGGCAATCATGACAACTAGACACATAAATTTGACACTGCTCAAATATATAATGATCTAGGTCATTCAAAAAGAAAACGATTTCAGTTATTTTCCTTTTCTTTTAACCTACCAAAATCTGTCATGGCTTTAATTATGCTAAGAAGGCTAATGGCAACTCATTCGTGGTGCTGTTTCGTGTATTTTATCAGAAATTTTCCACTAAGAAGAAATTTTTTTTCATAACGAAAAACACGAAAGTTGCAGTCTCTGTCTCCAGGTAATGTTTTGTTCCCGAAAGCAAACAGTCAAACTGGCGCCTTTGTTTTTCCTCACTTTTGCTTCGTTCGCTAAGGTAGGGTGGCAATCAACACTTAGAGAAGCATGATTTAGGGGATCAGGGAAGGATGAAGATACTTAGCGGTGAGTTTTGAGGTCTTGTGTCATCTAGTAGGAATGAGACGAGGACTACCTTCTGATTATGTCACCAGTTTTGGCTGTTTCTTAAAAAAAGAAAATTCTTTCATCTGTACTTTTTTATCCTTGAGGTGAGATCTCCGGTAGAGGTGTTGAATGAGTAGTGGATAGTTAGTTTTCATTAAGGGGAAGTCATTCACGAAACAATCTTGCTACTGCGGATGCGATGAGTAGAAGGAGGGAAAGAACAAATTTGCCAGTCCTCAAACCTGACTGCTCTCTAACGATTTGTGTGCCCTCCATCGCCTTAGCAACTTCTATCAGGACCTTCCTTTCCTAGGTAGCGTAGAATGGGATCAAGTAATTCAATACTTTCTTCAAACATGGTTGAAAGTAATTCTTGACACAACATTAATGTCTGGTTGTTCTTCAAGATAGTTCTGCATCTTTTGCGACCAGATCCAAGTTGCTCTACGTACTTCCGAATGATACACTGTGCTAAGCAAGTTGTATAAGGGGCTTCAGGGCCTTTAGAAGGTCGACTTGTAAAAGCAGATAAAGTGGAATCAAATAAACATCGTTCAGCTAATATTTTACGAAGGTTTATATGTAAAGGACGATTTTGCCAAGCATGAAATAGGCCATTGAGAGATTAAGGATTGTAAATAGGAACTGCAGGAATTTGTTTTCGATAGCATTAAAAGCTTGGAGTAGGCAACAAGTAAGAAAATCCAGAATTTTTTCAGTTAATGCTTGTGAGGCTTTTAAACGACTTTTTAACCCCTAAATGAATATGGACAGAAGAATGGGTAACTCACCTTTGCGCCTTATCAATGAACTCAGCTGATAGGGGACCTGTTTAAGCACCTTTTGAAGAGCCGTTCGATTAACTCGATCATGTTGCATTGCATACTCCAGTATGGGATAGGTGAGTTGAAACTTTTCACACTCTCTCTTGAACAATCCATGCTTGTGTATATTGTCCACACTCCGCCTTGCTTTAATTCGATAGTACCGGGTCAGTGTTGCATACTTCTCCAGCAATTTTAATTGACGCGAAAGTCGTTTTAATCGTCTGCGAATGCTCATCGGGAGGGCTGTAATAACAAAAAAAGTGGTGCTCATAAAATTGAGCTTATATTTTGATGCTCGCAAGCTAATTGGTTAATTGTCTAGGATTGTTCAATTGGTTGGACGATGCATTGGCCAATAAGAAAACACCTCAGGACTTAAATTGACCAATCAAATGATCGGGTGGGGGTCCGAGTCCCCCTAATTGAATAATGATGGCTGAATAAATAGACGAGTAAGGTATAAAGCATATTTTTCTGACAAGTTAGTCAGTGGTCACCCCTAAAGGCGAGTTTTTAATTTCTGAAAAACAGCACATTTGCCTAAACCAGTGTTTATATCAGAAAGGGGGAAGTAGGCATAACCCCTTAAGGGTTTAAAGAACTCCTCTTTCCCACCTGCTGCGTCCAGTATATAAGGGCTTGAAATTAATTTCTCCTCCCTTTCTCCTACTCTTAAAAATTCCGTTGGAAATCTGCATGATAATATGCCGTAAATAAATAATTTACCATGGGAGAAAGAAAAGTCCATTCTTTTAACCTACAGTGGGCGGTGTGAGGAGTTAATAAATGCCACACGGACAAAGTCGCTTGGCATTTTTCAAAATTTTAAACCGTGTGTAGAATGCGATTAATCTGTGGGGAGTTTTTTAAAATAACTTTACGATGTCTACAAGGGAATTAGTAATGCTAACATTCAACCTCTGAGGAAATCTTTTGTTTTCATGGCTGGGGTCATCGCATTCATGTCATACCGATTTATTCATGTCACTGCGACGTTATGGTCGGACCTATTTGTATAATAACATTGTCAGAGAGGGGTCGGACGCTGCAGTGGTGCTATTTGTTGGCACCTCACTCCGGTGAGTCTCGAAAAGAATTTTGCAGCAGAGGCACAATCGAGTGTAATCACCATTTCCAGGTCTCAAAGTGCTGCATTCTGTTCAACGGCGAAGTGCAGCTGAAATCGCCTGGCAAATAATAAAAATAACTTTTAAGGTAAATGCCAGTCATCAGTCCGTGAAACTGCCTGCTTTGGAGGCAAATTCTTCAACTGCAAAACAAGGCTCAAATGTAAGTTATCAAAAGTACGGAATAAGCGATGGACACCGTCAATTGGAACAATGACGTAGTAGTCGAGGCTCAAGAATAATACTGTGGATGGCTGAGAGCGGAGCGGTAGCATCGTATATCGACACCACCACTACTGATGATGAGGTAGGTCGCACTCCTCCTCTTCCTCCTCCTCCACAATTCTGACACTCATCTGTAATTTAGACGCAGTTTTCCATTTTTTCTTAAAAAAAGGTACCACAAAAGAAAATCTATAAATAATAGGAGTCTTCCTCCTTGGCCGACTTGCCTTACCTCTAACGTCCCCCACTCCATGGTCTCCTCCTCCCTTCCCAAAATGAATTTGCATTTTAGAATGAATAAACTTTGTGTATGTAAATTATTGTAAGTCAAAGGGTAGGGGGCACTCACTCACATCGCCATTTACATAAGGCGGCAACCATAAATGATTTTAGTGGAATCGGAAAATCTTGTTGAATGAAATTATACTCGCGCATTCATTTTAACGCGCATTCGCACACACATTTGAATTTTAATCACTCACTTGCTTAATCCACCAAGACAGACGAGGTGGCGGTGGCGGTGGTGGTGATGGGGTGGCTGGCGAAGCGCGGATACAACCAGGGCTTGAGATCAAGGCAGTGGTTGGTGGGTGGGGACGATAGACACCTTTTTGGCATTACATTTCTTCCCTCCCCTTCATCAGATAAAAAGGAATGACACCTCAAACAAAGGAAACCTAAACCCCTTTTACTCCGTTTTTTCATAAAATTTTAAAAGTTAAAATAGCAATTTTTTTTCTTCTTCTGCCTTAATCTCTTGAAATTGTAGGAGTTAAGATGATGAAGAAATGGAGAGGTGTGTCAAAAGTACTGGACAGGGTAGTAATCATTGTTGACAGATTAAATGGATTGGATTCTATTGTCTTCATATCTAAAAACTGCTTAATTTATCATTAGAACACTTTTACTGCTTTTTATTTTCCTCCTTTTTTTGGTCCACTTCCTTGGATAACTGCAATCCATCATTTAGCACGTCTGAAGAGTGTCACCTTATGAGTTGTTCTTTGATAAATGATCCTGCTTTTGAATTATAAATTGGGGGAGTTCGTAAAGCGTAATTTAAGGCCAAAAAATGACTTTCTGTACTTTAATGGGTAGGTGAGACGGTTATTAACTGGTTGTGACTGCACGTATATCACGTGACTCCCCCTGACTGGCAGGTTGAGTGACCTTGTCAAGTGGGTGCCAAGGCGTCTGTATGCAAATTGACTCGACGAAGGAGAGAAAAGTCCTCCTGTAATCAGCTGAAAATTGAAGGCAGAGGTGTGTCGAATTTGCACTTTGGTTGGGATGGCGGCAGGAAGAGAGGAAAGTGGAGCGGAAGGGTAGGCGATACCGCCTCATCTTTGCTCTCGTCCACCGTAATCACCCGCCATTGACACTTGATACCTACATAATCGCAAGTGAGATTAAATAGACAGGTGGAAAGTACAAGCAAGACAGAAACACAAATGCCTAAAGTCGTATCACTTACATCTGGAAACAAAACGTTCGACTGGTCAATGTTTCTTTGCTGGAAAAGGAACTCTTCACCCTCACGACATTAATTGATTCACTGTATTCTCGAGTACATAATTGGAATTTACGAATGCGGCACTGACATGCTGACAGGTGTTTCGGGTCAGTAGTGAGTTTTAATACATTTACTATCTGCGTCACATATATGTGACAGTGTAGTTCTTTACTCATTATTGAATAATTACAGAGGCGTGGATGACGAACAGTATCTAAACAGTCCCTTTCGGTGGCGCAAATGCTGTTGCCATTGTTTAAGTGATCAACTATGACGTATGGCTACAATGACCTACTTTCCTTTGTGACAGGTGTCAAACTCTCTCACAAAGAAGTCGCTGAAAAAAGGCAGAAAGTTCATCCCATAACATTTTTTAAAAATTTATTTATCTTCCTTGCTTTATTCAGAAAATTATGATAATTTACAAGAAAGAGTTTATTTATCTTGGCCTACTTGAAATATTTTCAAACATTGTCAAGTGCTCTTGGCCTTCAGAGATGTGGCTTGATCGCTGAAGCAGAACTCACTCCAGCCTCATCTGAGCAGGATAAACCTATAGAGGGATAAACACACTTATGTGGGAGATTTTTATCACTGGGACTAATTTAGACTGCTTAATAGGACAAACAAATGGTGGTCTGACATTCACCTAACGCGCTCTTGTTGTCTAAGTCTGCAACTTTCCCTTCTCAGGCTTTTTCCTCTTCACTCCTTTGTGGTCCGAAAAGAGGAAAACTTTTTTGTGATATTTGACCTCTGAAGGCAAATAATTAGCTTTTCTGGCTATTCCTAGTGCCCACCTGTCTGCTCTATCCCGCTTTGGATTATGTGAATGTAAAGTGGCAGTGATAGGTGATAATCAGTATTTACAGGAGTATGAAAAAGGAAAGTGGGGAGGATGGAAATGAAGATGAGGCATCATTTCCTTCCCCTCTTCTTTCATTCTCTCTCTTACCCTAATCAAAGGGTAAATCTGACCCCTGGTTAGTTTTGAGGAGGTATAAATCTGAGTAGGGATTGGCTGACCAGTGGTGACTACCTCCACGCATACTGCAGTGGGACGGAGTTTTGTCGAACGGATGGATTTCAGTGGAACTTGTCTGGCCTTCAACAAGTGAGCAACTACTAATGACCAATCGCACCTGCGGTCTACCTCACGCAAAGCCACACGCAATACCTTATTGTGGAGAGCAGAAGGTCTCCCTCAGGATGTCTCGTTCTTGTTTGGACGCGTTTCTGGATGGCGCGTTCCGCCACTACACCTTCTCGAAATGCTCTAAGAAAAATTTGGTGGACAATGTCGGCGGATTTGGAGCTGCTCTCGTTCCCTACAGGTAGCAACAAGTAATCAATGGAAATTTTCGGGTCATTGAATATATGCTTCAATAAACAAAAAAACTGTTTTTTAAAATTCCCTGCCACTATTTCCTAGCTTGGGAACTTAAATTTATGTAATTTTCAGTTGCTCCCCTTCTCCAATCAGGGGAACTTGAGGGTTGTCATAAAACCTCTTTAATGCGTTTTTGGAAGCACGCGCAGGTGGAGAACAGTCGCCTAATATTCACGCGTCGTAGCCTCTTCACCAATCATAACTTCACATGTACGCGCACGGCATGACCATTGGGGGAGGCATCATATTCACCGCCCGCGTATCATAACCCACAATCAACCAATCACTTCGCAGGTTAACAAAAAGTCTTAAGATAATTGGCTAACGATCTGTTAATCACCCATCTCCACTCATAATAGACCCCACTTGTCTGCTTAGCTATTTATTTGCTTATTTCCCACTCCAACTCGTTTCCCACAGTTGCACTTGCAGTAGCAGCAGAGGTGAATTCATTAATTTGCAGCGAATAATCCGCGGTAGAAGGGAGAAGCGGATTATGCGTTCCCAGGTAAACGCAAAGTGGATACGATTTACTCTACTAACAACCTCCACGCCCTTCATCATTATCAACAATAGCAAATTTTTTTAAAGGGTTCCCACAGGCTGCGAGGCAAGCGCGAATGTGATTGGGTGAGCGGAAAGGCCACATCCCGCCTCACCCCATCTCCCCTCTGTTGCTTGTGTGAGAGGTGGTCATTAAGTTAGCAGGCTAGCTACCACCACCACTACCTTAC